AGGAACAGTATCACCGGGGCGAAGAATCGAGAGAGGAACGACTTCAAGTGCGGAAGGCAAGATCTCAACCGAACCAGAGGAGGTGGTCGAGTTAGCAGGATCTGAAAACAAAAGAAGAGAGGAATAATATCAAAAAGAGGAATTTTGGCAAAAAAGGAGAAGGGTGGGAGGAGAAGGTTTTAAGAATTAGGGTTCCACGAAAGGGGCTATTTTGAAGAAAAGGAACAGGGATTCCGAGAGAATTTCAAAGGGGAAGAGCGAAATCTACAACGATCAACAGACAAGCACAAAAATTCAATGCACAGATTCAAAACACTCAATCAGCAAACTTCAGATACCCAATTCCCAATTCAAAAAATAAAAGAGAAAAAAAATTTCTCAAAACACAAAAGTCCAGATACAGGAAGTGCAAAATCAAGAGAAAAACAACTTACTCATAATCACGGAGGAGAGAATCGGGAAAACTTGAAGATTGCAGGAAAAATCGCCGACGGGAGCTAGGATTTTTTGCAGAGAGAACTTTGAATGCAAAGGAATTTGGGAGAGATGAAGGTGGAAAAAGTCTGAAATTCTGCTAAGTACCGGTTTTATACCTTGGAGAGTTTAAGGGGTGAAAGAGGAGGACCGTCAGATTAAAGTTGGATCGTGCGGCGGAAAAATTAAATTACACGGTACTCCAAGTGGGCACGTTATGCGAGGGGGCGCCATCATTAAAGTGCCTGACACACGCGAACAGGCGTGACGCGTGGCAAAAAAGCAGGAGCGACAGGAAGGACTAGAAACAGACGACTTTATTACTGGCAACTAATGGGAAATTATTTGAAAATGTGAGCGGGAAACCTATTATCTGGTCGATATTGAATGACGAATCATCGGGGAGGTCGATAAATACCAATTCACTCTTAGATCGAGTCATCCAGACTCGACCAGAGTGGGGGGGACTAGATGATATGGGATATTATCTACACAAAGCTAAACCGGTCGGTTGGGCCGGCCGAGAAGGTTAAACCAAGAGGGAGCCAAGCAAAAAGGCGGGAATATCGAACATTCAGGGAATCGACCAGACTAATGATCGAGCAATCCATCGCTCGACCAGACTAATGATCGAGCAAACTACTCGACCTCTGCAGGTCGATCGCTTCGAGGAACCCACAGTCGATCTAGTTGTGGGCGCGTGTACCGTAGGCGTGCGTAAGAGCCTCTGACTGAAATCTCCAGAGAATATTTACCCCATGTGTCGGGGGAACACGTGTCGACAATGTATTGGGTGATAGCGATAACCACCTCTGACAGCTCCCAACGCCCCGCGCCACCTCTGACATGTGCGCGGCGTGCCAGAGTACGGACGGGCAGTTTGGGCAGCCAGCTCATCCTTATCCGGGCAGCTATTAGGGCAGGTATCTCACTCCTATATAAAGGGGGTGAGCCTTCTTTCCTTGAACACATTCTATTCATTCTCTCAATTCCAGTATACTCATATACATACTGACTTAAGCATCGGAGGCTCTTCACCGGACACAACCCCCGGTGTGAGAGTTATTTGCAGGTTTCCGGCGTTCTACCGGCGAGGACCAAGACCTATCCGTTCAAACCGGACCAGGACGCTTACACTTGCATTAAGTCCAATGGAAATCAAATTAGTATAATCGAAGTCAAATTAGTCCCATCGAAGTCAAATTAGTACAATCAAAGTCAAATTAGTACAATCGAAATCAAATTAGTCCAATCGAAGTCAAATTAGTCCAATCGAACTCGAATTAGTCCAATCGAAGTCAAATTAGTATAATCGAACTCGAGTTAGTCTAATCACGGTCAATTATAGTGTAATCGAACTAGAATTAGTGCAATCAAAGTCAAATTACTATAATCAAAGTCAAATTAGTATAATCGAAATCAAATTAGTCCAATCGAAGTCAAATTAGTCTAATCAAACTCGAATTAGTCCAATCAAAATCAAATTAGTACAATCGAAGTCAAATTAGTCCAATCGAAGTCAAATTAATACAATCGAAGTTAAATTAGTCCAATCGAAGTCATTCTAGTCCAATCGAAGTCGAATTAGTACAATCGAAGTAAAATTAGTACAATCGAAGTCAAATTAGTCCAATCGAAGTCAAATTAGTACAATCGAAGTCAAATTAATACAGTCGAAGTCAATTTACTATAATCGAAGTCAGATTAGTACAATCGAAGTCAATTATACGAAAATCGAAGTCGAATTAGTCCAATCGAAGTAAATTACTATAATCGAAATCGAATTAGTCCAATCAAAGTCAAATTAGTACAATCGAAGTCAAATTAGTACAATCGAAGTCAAATTAGTCCAATCGAAGTCAAATTAGTCCAATCGAACTCGAATTAGTCCAATCGAAGTCAAACTAGTATAATCGAACTCGAATTGGTCCAATCACGGTCAATTATAGTGTAATCGAACTAGAATTAGTCCAATCGAAGTCAAATTACTATAATCGAAGTCAAATTAGTATAATCGAAATTAAATTAGTCCAATCGAAGTCAAATTAGTCCAATCAAACTCGAATTAGTCCAATCGAAATCAAATTAGTACAATTGAAGTCAAATTAGTACAATCAAAGTCAAATTAGTACAATCGAAGTCATTCTAGTTCAATCGAAGTCGAATTAGTACAATCAAATTCGAATTAGTACAATCGAAGTCGAATTAGTACAATTGAAGTCAAATTAGTACAACTGAAGTCAAATTACTATAATCAAAGTCAAATTAGTCAATTATACTAAAATCGAAGTCGAATTAGTCCAATCGAAGTTAAATTACTATAATCTAAATCGAATTAGTCCAATCGAAGTCAAATTAGTACAATTGATGTCAAATTAGTACAATCGAAGTCAAATTAGTACAACCGAAGTCAATTTACTATAATCAAAGTCAAATTAGTACAACCGAAGTCAATTATGGTGTAGTCTAACTCGAATTAGTCTAATATAAAGTCAAATTAGTACAATCTCGAGCAATTATGGTGTAATCGAACTCGAATTAGTCCAATTGAACTCAAATTAGTACAATCTCGGTCAATTATGGTGTAATCGAACTCGAAGTAGTCCAATTGAATTCAAATTAGTACAATTTTGCTAGTTTTTTTTTTTCATTTTTCTTCTTGTTTTCCACAGTTTTAGGTCGGAAGCACAACAAGAAATATTTTCAGCCCAAAAAATTGCCCTAAAAGCATGCTCAAGTAGTGGGATTCGTTGGCGACATGTAGGAAGAATCGAAACTTAATTTCGAGTTCGGACAAGTGCGAACGGCCCCGATATGCGAAGTCGTGCAAGGAAGCCGCCAACTTCAGGTCAAGAGCTTTGAGATAATAGGTTTTCAAGAATAGGTTGGATTTTAAAGCATAATTACATAGAAGGCTTCGTTGGCGACATGTAGTAAAAAACGGAATTCAATTTCGAGTTCGGACGAGCCCAAACGAGCCTGAATTTTGCTAGTCTTCTTCGTTTTTTTATTCCTTTCCCTCGTTTTAGGCCGGAAGCCCCACAAGGAATTGTTCCAGCCCGAAAACTGGTCAGAAAAGCATGCTCTAGTAGTAGGATTCGTTGGCGACATGTAAGAAGAATCGAAACTCAATTTCGAGTTCGGACGAGTCCTAACAGTCCCGATATGCGAAGTCGTGCAACAAAGCCGCCAACTTCAGGTCAAGAGCTTTGGGATAATAGGTTTTCATGAAGGTTTTGTTGGCGACATGTTGGAAAAAACGGAATTCAATTTCGAGTTCGGACGAGCCCAAACGAGCCCGAATTTTGCTAGTTTTCTTCTTTTTTTTTTATTCTTTTTCCCCCTTTTTGGCCGAAAGCCCCGCAAGGAATAGTTCCAGCCCAAAAATTGGTCAAGAAAGCATGCTCTAGTAGTAGGATTCGTTGGCGACATGTAGGAAGAATCGAAACTCAATTTCGAGTTCGGACGAGTCCTAACGGTCCCGATATGCGAAGTCGTGCAAGAAAGCCGCCAACTTCAGGTCAAGAGCTTTAGGATAATAGGTTTTCATGAATAGGTTAGATTTGAAAGCATAATTATATAGAAGGTTTCGTTGAAACGAGCCCGAATTTTGCTAGTTTTCTTCCTTTTTTTTATTCTTTTTCCCCCTTTTTGGCCGAAAGCCCCGCAAGGAATAGTTCCACTCCGAAAATTGGTCAAGAAAACATGCTCTAGTAGTAGGATTCGTTAGCGACATGTAGGAAGAATCGAAACTCAATTTCGAGTTCGGACGAGTCCGAACGGGTCCGATATGCGAAGTCGTGCACGGAAGCTGCCAACTTCAGGTCAAGAGTTTTGGGAGAATAGGTTTTCAAGAATAAATTAGATTCGAAAGCATAAATACGTAGAAGGCTTCGTTGGCGACATGTAGGAAAAAAAGGAACTCAATACTGAGTTCGGACGAGCCCTAACGAGCCCGAATTTCACAATCCAATCTAAAAAATAAAAAAAAAAAATTAGAAAATGGATTCAAATCCGTTACAAATACCAAAAAAAAAAAAAAAAGGATTATGAAAATCCGTTTTTCAAATAAAAAACGCATTTCCATATCCCGCTTGTTTGATTCTTGTCCACATCATTTTTTTTTTCTTTTAACTTTTGCTACAGAATTTTTTCTTTTTGTAATTAAAATCACTTATAATCATTTTTCTTCTACTTTACATCAAATCAATTTTAATTATTTTATTTAAATATTTTTTTAATATATCTTTTAATAACTAACCATACCATTTTTTTTTTTCAAAATTAACTATAGATAAAAAAAACAAACCAAATAAAAACTAGTTAGAATCAATAAACAATCACTCTCTTATTAACGTAAATTAATTACACTCAAACGCTTGTAGTTGTAGATGCTCTTAGCGCCTCACACACAAGCGCCAAACTCTGTTCATATATCTAGACCTTCGTCTTCATCACTGTGCTAAGTAGAAGCCTCCTTGTCGCGAATTGCCTCGCATAGCAGAAGCCACAACAATATTTTACAGATGGAGTTTTACCTCGAAGAAGGGAAACAACAAAACCCTAATTGCTCGACTTTGATTCTGGTACGTTCCAAGGGTTTTCCAGATCTTTCTTCCTTCAAATTCTCGGTTCTCATGCCTTATCACATCTACGTCGGGAGGTTTTTAACCTTGTTATTTTCTGCTCCGTTATGGATTTTTCAGCCGGCATTATCGATAGGAAACGTGGGGCAGCTCGCCGTGGATCTGTTAATCTCGTCTCTTAAAGCTGAGAAAATCGGCTATTTGGACGATCCCAACGTACTTCCTTGTGTTGGAAACGACGCTTATTCCCCGTCGCCTCTTGGGAAGTTAGCTCTCCCACTCGAAGGTGCTTTCCAGGATTGTTATTTTCTTAGTTTTTTGATGGGTATCTATTTCTATTATTAGTTTCCGATTTTACATTTTTTTGTATCCCTTTGTCAAATTGAACTTCGCAGTGTATGAATCTTCTTCGAGTGCATTGACACTCGTGCAACAGCGGTCTCCAGTTATTAAGGTATTGTTATTGCTTATGCTACTTGTTTTGGTCATTGAACTTCAGCTGATTTCCATGAATTGGGTCATTTTGTAATGACAATGTTTAACTCGGCCTCAAGGATTGTACTTTTATGCTTGTGGACGCAGGGTATGATGATGGAATATGCTAAGAACATGGCGAATTTTGCAGCTGAAAATGGGAAGAAGCACGTCATCGTACTCTCCAGCTTGGATTTTGGTCGATGGAAAAACATCAATATGTCTAGGTATTTCCTCCAGTAAAGATTTAGCTTCAGATACGATTGCAGAATCTACAGTTTAGTGTTCTTCATGAATTTGTCTGGCAACATGCTTGAGGCCATTGTGTGTAGTTTTGCTGATTTTTTACTAGGTTTGATTTTCTATGCATATATTCCGCTATGAATTAACTTTAAATCAGGCAATAAAAAGGAGATTGTATTGGCAATGCCAACATCAAAACTTTTCCTATCTTGAAATGGTTACACAAATTAATTTCAGTTAGTTAATGGAAACAATTATGTACGGATTTCATGTGGATGCTTGTAGTTCTGATTTTTCTTCAGTTGAACTTTGAAAGTCGTTGCTCACTGGTGATATTTAACAGCGGCTTGCAGATATACTACTTATCTAGTTCCAGTGTGGATGGGGTCGATGCTGACTGTGAACGACTTGGATGGAATAGACTTCAAGGTTACAATCCTGATCAAAGAGCATGGAAATATCTCGATATGTTAGTGGCAGATGGGTTCACCCCTGATGAAGATTTTCCTTCTGAAGAACTTGGAGATGAAGATTATTATCCAAGTTTGCCCTTTGCTGCACTCTTTTCCTGCTTTAAGGTCCAGTTTTCAGTTATTTGTTTCACAATAAATAAATAAAAAAAAGAACTTATTAATTTTCTTGGAAATAGTAGCTCATATATTTGTTTTCTGGAAACCCCTTCTTTTGTTTTGCCTGCTTCTAGCTGAAGCCTGTGTGCCTGAGCATAATGGATGATTTTAATTATATCTTGCGTTTAACAATTCTTTTGATTGTATAGGCTAAAGGTCTAAAAGTTACTTGCGTACTGTGTTTCTGCTCTGAGGGAGACAACATACCTGAAGCTTTCTCTATGGCTGAGGCAGCAAGCATACTTACTGGACTTAGCAATAAGGAGTTCCTAGGTGATTTATTTTTCACTGTCTGCAAATGTGAAATTATCTTCTTTCTTTTGTCTTTATTAATTCTGTTCGCTTCCCCCAAGGTGCACACATTACAGACACATTATGAGCCTCTACATGCACATATATAATTATACTCCATTCAAACCAAAAAATGCAAATGTTTTGTGTTGGTTTATGGAGAACTGAAGTAACTACCCTATTTTAAATGCATTTTGTTCTTATTACATCTGCACCAGTTGACATTTCATATCCAGGACACGAAGTATGTTCTTGAATTGAGTTGTAGCTAAGATTACGAGTTACTTATAAACACACCCATATTATATTTTGTTCAGACCAACAGAACAAGTAGTAGCCCCTTTATTCTCTACTTTTGAATCTCAAGAGGGGGTTATTTGGAGATGAATGACAAACTCAAAGCGTGTTTATAACACTCGAAGAGTTATTTGTGATTGTTGCATTTAGTTCGGTTTTGTGTTGGTAGACTAACTAAGGGGTAGTTTATTGACCTTGTTTCCTTCATTCTCTTCATTTTTTTTATTTTTAAATTATTTTTTGCTTTTGGCTGGAATCTGATCTCAGTTTTGATTGGAAATGCAAGCTGATTAATTGTACTCCTTTGTGTCGTAATTGTTCAGGCACTGGTTCCGATAAGTGGATTGCGCCATTCTCCTGGCAGAGTGTGTATGGGCCCCCAGCAGATATGACTCTTTTCTAGGCACAGCCAAGTTGATCTTCTTTATGGTTGATTTTTGTATTACTTTCTCCATTTTTTTTGGGGATTATCTTAGATTCATATATTTGAAAAGGCAGTGGTTCACCCAAGTTCGGTCCTTCGGTTCAATATGAATACGCGTAGTCGCTTGGATGTTGCAAATTTCCTTGGGCATTATTATATTTGACATGCATGCTTGTGTAGCCAGGTAGCCAGCCTTTTGGAGTATGTATCTTAACTTAAATATTTATATCAACCAGCTAAAGGAAAGTAAGATAAATTAGAATTTTACAGAAGGGTCGAACGTTAAAATAACTGAAGGTACTTTTACACATGCGTGAAGTGGGACAGAGGACAAAGCATATATTACGATGCTCGAATAGCCTCTGAGGGCATATTTATTTAGACGACTTCTCATGATTTATGCTGATCTTACTGCTTCGTTCCCTTGGCTTCTGCGTAAAGCTGATCTATGTGGTCCTGCAGATAAACAAGATATGTTAACAGAAATAGTAGTTCGCGGGCTAACAGCGAATCGGCTTACAAGATAGATAGTCACTTGGGGCCAATGGACATGTAAAAAATAGCATGTGTCAGATGGTTATTTGAACTCTTTTCGTGTCAACCTTGTCTAGAGCTTCTATAAAATCAATTTAGTAACCAGTACACATCAATCGTGTTTTTGACGCTTTTATTCGAATAAATAAAGCTCTGATTATAAGTTGGAACGGTGAAATGCTCAACTAGACTCAGTTCGGTTACACATACCTTATAATACTTGTATAATTGAGGCCTCTTAAGTTTAAACGTTGGGGTGATTAGATCTCGACTTATGTCGAAAGGAAGTGGTTCTAAGTGAACTCCTCTTAACATCTCGAAACCTCGGAGCTGAAAAGAAAAAAAACAAAATAAAAATAAACTGCGTATAATGACTTAGACGCAGTGGTATAAGATACAAGGCAGTCTTCTTACATCGTGTCTTTTAGCTGTGTTGTTGAGCTCGTCTAGAATGTGCTTTTTTGCCTTTGTGTTGCCACACAAAGACTGAAAATCGCCTTTCTCTTGATTATTAGCTGCCCAATCTTCGAGTGCCTTTATCTCCGGCACCACCACAGCCACCAGAAACGACTCGAAACTGTCCCCATACACCCAAACCTACGGGAGTCACTCAGCGAGAGTCTTAATCAAGTCTAACTTCACCTTTGTTACACTTAAGGTTCAATTTAAGTAATTTAGTTCACAAATTCAACATAAAATCCTGAGTCTAGACCTAGTAGAACTCGTTTGTTGTCTTTTTGTAATAAATGCTTACAGATGATACGAGTGGGCACTGAGAGTAGACGCTCTCGATGCTTTCAACAGCCACATACTCCCCTTGCGACAGCTTGAAAATATTCTTTTTCCTGTCGATGATCTTCATTACTCCATCAGGCTGCCACTCCCCAACATCACCTACATTATTTTGTCAAAATAATCTCACAATTCACATTGGAATTTGGAAAAAGACTATTTGTCACCAATTATGAGTGTTTGGAGAAAATGTGTAGCTACTAGCTACCTGTATGAAACCATCCATCGACGACTTGTTGCTGAGTAAGATCCGAGCGTTTGTAGTATCCAGAAAATAATATGTTGCCCCTAATGCAAATTTCACCTCGTGGGACACTAGACAGGGCATCATATCCCATCTCGGGAATGGATTCTAGTCGAGCCTCCACAGTCGGCATAGGGATTCCCACCGTGCCAACCATTGAGTACACGTTGCCTAATGAGGCGAAACACCCAGCACAGCTTTCTGTAAGCCCTGAACGAAACACACACACACATACAATCATTTTTTGTAAAGAAAACCTTCGAGAGTTAGTATAGATTGGATGAACGTAAATTGTTCATACCGTATCCTTGTGAAAACATGCAGCAACATGCAACTCTCAGAAACTCTTCAATGTGCTTAGGCAAAGGCGCCGCCCCAGAAAATATTAGACGAACGCGTCCCCCAAATCCTTGTTTGATCTACATGTCATTCCCATGGTAAAGGCATCACACTCAACAAGAAGTCACGAAGCAAAATCAGCTCGAATGTAAAATTAGGACAGTTTTACAACTCACTAAACCTTATCAAAGACCAGCTTGTCAAACAGAGGAGATGCTTCATCCTGCTTTACTCCTTTCTGCAGATTCCTTAGTTTACTGTTGATAGAGATTAAAAAACGATTAATCTTATTCATCTTATTACAGCGGCTCAACCTACAATGCATGCAAATGAAGCTGGGTGAACCAACACATACTAGTAATACGCAAGCTGGAATAAAGACTTCTTCAGTAATCCCCCGGCCGAAATTTTGTCCATTATGCCTGGATAGAGGTTAGCATCTTAACTCTATCAAAATATATGTAAGCAAATAATTACTACAATTTAAAAATTTTAGTTATGTTTTAAAATTGAAAATCTCATGGTAAATCTGGAGAGTTGAACACTTTCCGAAAACTGTAAATGATTATATTAGAGAATACCTGCGTATATTCGCTCAAAGACTCTTGGGACTCCACAAAATACAGTCGGCCTTAGCACAAGAAGATCCTCGATTAAAAACTTAACATCCTGCATGTTGAACAGGAATGCTGTTCAGAGGCTTCATGCATGTGTATTCATTATCTAAGAGAAAATTCATGTTCTTTAATAACAAAATCCAATAGCATAAGTGAGTGTTAACTCAACTCACCCCTTGCCAATATCCAATGGAAGAACCCCGGTAAATCATATAGGTCTCGATAACTTGATCGAATATGTGTGCTAGTGGAAGGAATGAAAAGTACACATCATCGTCTTTAGCCTGACAAAAACCAAAAAGATAAAAATAAAAAATAAAAAATAAAATATAAAAATACACTGCATTAAGGTGCAATCCATAAGAGATGAGCCCTTTTTGTAACTAGACAGAACATCGATGGTAAATCTTTTTACACAAGTAAAATATCAAGTTCTCAATATTTACCTCATCGTTATTCTCTCTCAGAAGTTGATCAATGGACAAGACTTGTGCCATGAAAGCGCCATTAGTTAGCACGACGCCTTTAGGTTCACCAGTTGTTCCACTCGTGTACATAATCGTGCAAGTCGTAATCTTGTTTTTAGGGGGAAGGTTACTATCCATATTTCCCTTAGATGAAAAAAAAAATTAAAAAAAGGCAGATTGAGGATAAAATATACTGTGATATTAGCAAAAATCAAAGTTTAAAATGAAAATGTATTGTAATAGATTGGTGAATCTGATGTTTTTTTACCAGCAGTGAAAATTCCTCCCATGAGAAGCAATCCACTCCTACTTCGCTGGCTGCCGTCTTTTGTTGGTCAGATATTTTTCCGAAGCTGACGATGGCTTAACAAAGAAAACAATGCTAAAAATTACTAACATATGGAGTTAAAAACTAAAGGGACAGATACACTAAAAGCAGTAATAATAATAATAATAATAATAATAATAATAATAATAATAATAATAATAATAATAATAATAATAATAATAATAATAATTCAAAAAAAGATGATGTCAGAGTAGAAATTTTTACATACTTTTTAGGAATGATGCACACTTGGGAAGACATGTTAGTATCTGCACAAAGAGAAAGTCATTATTAAATCCACTTTTTATAAAATCTTCTTACATTTTCATGATTTGTACCAAGAACAATTAAAAGTCATTTTGCCTCTGAAATTTTAGTCTAAAAAATCCTGTTTTTCGAAATTCTGTTCGAATTTCCTAATATCGACTTAAAAAGAGAGAAATAAATAACAAAGCACATACTGATGGCAACTTGCTTTCTTGAACAAAGGCTATGGAAACTTCAGCATGGTTTATTATGAATTCCACAGCATTTGGCCCTGCATTTTCATGTACCACTAATGTACTCGTCATATCATAAATACGTAAAACAGGACAACATATTCTAAAACAAATGAAATTACGTACCAAGGGTATCGTATAAAGGTACGTAAGTTATCGCGTGACTATTGCAAGCCTGTAAATCAATCGAAAAAAACAACCAATTTAAGAAAACCACAAGACCAAAAAAAAAATGTATAATATTTGATCGGCAAAAATGCATTTTTAGTCCTGTTGGTTTAGTACCATAGCAATTTTAGTCCCTAAGGTTCCAATCTTTTGCCTTTTAGTCGTATGATTTAATATTTTGCTGCAATCTCAATCCTTTGAGGACTGAAACCGCAACGAAATTTTAAACAACACGACTAAAATTTCCACAAAATTTTCAATTATAGGACTTAAATTTGCTCGTAATAAAACTATAAATTTTGAAATCTGTCGCAATTTCAGTCCTCAGAGGACTGAAATTGCAGCAAAATATTAAATTACCGGACCAAAAGGCAAAATGTTAGAATCTCGGGACTAAAAATGTTATGGCGTTTAACCAACATGACTAAAAATGCAGTTTAGCCTATTTGATCCGAATGATGAATTCATTTGACCTGCATTGCCATAATCCATTCTGGGCAGTTGGCTCCGTAAATGCCGCACTTATCACCCTAGTGAAATCAAAGCTACTACTAAATCATCACATGCCTAATACTAGTACTGTAATTAAGTGACATAGTCTCAGAGATTAATCATATGTTTGCATTTCAGAACAAAGAAGGGACTGATTAGTTAACTGGATTGAGGCCACGGCCTCGGATGGCAGAGCCAATCTTGAGGGCATCATCATAAACTTGTTTGTAAGTTTGCCACACGTACGCATTTGTCTGCCAAATTCATTAGCAATGTGTAAGTTTATGTGTGTGTTTAGCATACAATTTGTTTGTTGTAGTAAATATGAGAGGTTTGTCTTTGAGGTGGCAATATTATATCACTGATGATACAAATAAACCGTACCTTCCCATCAATAATTTGACGACGACCTATCATCCGGTTTGTTGGGTATCTTTCCACAGAATTTCTATATATAAACAAGAACAAAATCAAATGATGATTAAAATATGGCCTATTAGCTCAGTTGGTTAGAGCGTCGTGCTAATAACGCGAAGGTCGCAGGTTCGAGACCTGCATGGGCCATTTTCTTTTTCTTATGGCCACAAATCTCTCTCTCTCTCTCTCTCTCTCTCTCTCTCTCTCTCTCTCTCTCTCTCTCTCTCTTTTTTCTTATGGCCACAAAAATATCAAGTGAAAGTGAGACACTAAACAGAATTATATTATGAAACCTGAAAAAATCCCAAGGCGACTCCAATCCATCTGGAATCTCCAGAAGCCCATCCTTTGCATAAATGCAGCGATAAACGGGCCCAGTCGACGGCTTCCCGTCGGCTGCCGCCCTTCCTTCCTCAACCTTCACAATATACTCTCCCATTTTGGAGCAGCTGCTGGTTGATAATATAAAAACTTGAAAAATCTATACTCTATGTTTTTGTTCTTTGTTTGATTGAGCTTATATTATTAGGTGAAGCATTAATGAATATTTGAAGGCCTTTTTATTTGGGATGAAGTGAAGGCCTTTACAGGTGAGAAACTAACAACAATGCACATTAATGTTGGTAGTTGAATCCTAACGTTTGAAAATACCATTAAATGACCTCTCTCATCAAATTAATTTTTTCCTATTTTTCTCACCGGTTTTGGGTTTTTTAGCAAATTTTTCAATTTCCTCTTCTTTATTTGGGTGAACAAATATGATATGCAGCATAAAGGATGTTGAGAGTGGGAAAGACTTTTGGTGTTGATCGCCTTATAAATAAGAATGTTTATATTTCGGTGTTGACTTTTAATTAGCTTTTTAATTGGAGTTGTAAACTTCCAATTGCGTTCAAGACTATCTGTGATCCTGCACCGATTTTATTCTATTTATACAATAATACAGTTTTGAAATGAAATGGGTCGGTCTTGTTATTAATATGAAGTTGGATTACGCTCCGTGGGTGGCAAGCACTGAAAATATTATGTTCGAACCACGGTTCAACTCCTCCTGGAGGGGCACTTAACACATGAAGTCCTCCTGAACTGAGTGTAGCCAGTGAAGCAAGAGAGTCCGTTGCAAAACTTGATTCACGCCAATCATGTAAAAGGCGTACGACCTAGTCCTTGGCTATGAGTTCCTAGATATCTCGTATCAAACTACCATTTACTTCCACACTGCCGTGTTGTCCCTCAATCATTTGCGCCACACTTTGGCTGTCGACTGACGCAATTACGTATCAAAAATCCTTATCCCAAGCGAGGGACAAAGCCTGAAATAATCCCTTTTGTTCGGCGCCCGTCACCTTCGAGAAACCAATATTCATGACGAAACGTCCTCCAATCCATTGGCCAAAATAATCACGTAGCAAAATATCCCCAACTCTAAAAGCGATGCCAATCGAATTTGAAAGGAAACCACGACACTCCTTCCACTAGAGGACTCTAAGCTTGGCTCGACTAAAATCAAGGTAAAAAAATAGACCTAAATTATAAGCTAGTCAAGAGAATGGCACAGAGGACAATTATATGGACTAAAATGCCTCTAGTTGTTAAAGTGATCGTCCGCCTCAGCGCCCATTGAACTGGGGTTGACCAAAATGCTATATCCCAGATAATTGGACGTGAGTGAGCTGTCTCAGGTGAAGCGAAGAGCTTGTTTGGTCCCGGCCATATTTCACTATTCATATCGGAAGATCACTGACTTAAGCATATGAGGCTCCTCAGCGAAAAACTCCCTTCCGGTGGTGAGTTCTTGTAGGTACATGAGCTGCTCGAGGTCGAAAAAGGAGTTACAAAGGTCGACGAAGCTGTTTCATCATCAATACCCCATTCTGAATCGGGACAGAGTGAAGTCTATTTCAATATTATATATCTTCTTGGGAGTTGGTTTTTTCTTCAAATCCATCTTCTTCCTCATGATGTTAATGGTGATAGCATCATCATCACTTGAAATAACCAAGTCATCATCTCTTTTATAGAACTCTTTCTCAATCTTTTCCCTTTATTTGCATCTATTTTCGAATTCGAATAAGAATTTGAGGAGTAGCAATGTGGATGGGATTTCCACTGTGAATTTGGGAGTGATGAGTCTTATCTAACAGTTTTTTTCATCTTGTTCAACTCTTTCTATTGCATCAGCTACTAAGTTCAGATTTCCCTCTATTTTTTTTTTTGTCGTAGTTAAGAAGCGGAATAGAGTTGATAATTGCAAACTCAGTCCTCTAGAGTCAGTTGACTCATTTTCTCCCTGGATACGCATAAGAAATAACTAAATTGTAATTGTTATAAGATTTATTTGATTATTATTGTAATCATAAAAATGTTATTGTGATGAAATGAGTGATAATTTACCCCATTGATTGATTGAAGGTATTGATCAACTTGACAACCAACATAAACGCTTGCAGCATCTCCAAACGACGTTACAAATGCACTTTCATTTTCACTCACGACTTCTACGACGATCCTGAATCTAAAATATTGAATAAACTAGATAAGAAAGTTAGTCATATAATAGAAATTATGTATAGAAAGCATAAATTAAATATTTGTTACATTGGAATTATTTCCACATCTTCTTCATTACACTTCCGGCACGATGTTGTATCACAATTTTTTTTTTTTTTTTTAAACGATGCAGAATAATTCTTACAAGAGTCGTAATATATGTAAGGTTTGTTCATAACCTTATCAACAAATCCCCTGAAGCAATAATATTTTTGTCTGAAAGTGAAAGAAATTTTAAAACTTAATAATATAAATACATAAATAGTTATGCTAATATATTATAAATTCAATAATACCTCACTCAGTTTATCCAAACCATAAATGATATCATTTAGGGGACTTCTTTCATCTTTTTCATTCTATTTATCATATGAAGTTCTATTATCTTTGACTGTATCAGGCATCTTGAAGACCTATGTTTAAAATAAATATATAAAATAAAGATTTTTTATTCAATTATTTTAGTGGATATGTATTAATTTTATTTTACCATAATTTTTTCAAGAGGTGAGCTTCTTCAAAAGTTGGTTGGATAATCAAGATTAATGCTGGAGAGGGTTGCCGCTGCCAATAGGAAGAAAACACATAAAAATAAAGTAATTTAGAAGACGTCGGAGTTATATATATATATATATATATATATATATATATATATATATATAGAGTTAGGATCAAATAAGAATGAGGGATAATGAAAGAAATGAGAATACTTGTACATCATCAGATCTGCTAAATCAACGGTACAGATGCAGTCAACATTAAATGAGCCTGTTTGACTTCGCGCTGGCATATTCGTAAATATTATTGATTTTGCAGATAAATGTCTAAGGTAGAGGGTATTGTGGTCCTTCAACATATTAGCAGAGGGTAAAGGCATCTTTTCAGACACATTAATCGTTTCTACTACCTAGGTCAGGCAGACATTGATGAGCGAGCTCGTTGGATAATGATGGCGGTTTCTCAACTTTTGAGGGTCGTTTAAGCTCAAATTTTCATCAGTTTCATCTTGCGATTAACAAATGTGCATCCACCAGATGCTTATTGAAGTTTTCAGGCTATTATTAGCTTGATTTCGTTCAATTTAGAGGAACATGTTCATCAATTTCATAATATGGGTAATACTCCCCAAACAAAGAAGCGAGGTAAGATTTATCTTCAAGCTTGTGTCGATTAGTCATCGTTTTTAGATGTTTTGTCGTAAATAGAACAATATATATATATATATATATATATATATATATATATATATATATATATATATTATATAAACTAGGGTTCATATGTTTCTGGTTGTATATGATTTATTTTATTGTAATTAATATATGCTTATTTTTTTGTTTATTTTTGGTTGTATCATGTATTTTTTTTCACATTGTAGTTCCAGATCATTCCCGTGTTGCTTGGGTTGCTTGAATTTGATTACATAAGTTGGTGCGAGTTTTACTATGTTCTAGTATCATACTCTGTTTTTAATATTTGCCCATATTCAATTTGCCTAGGTGTTTAACCCAATATCAATACTAAGACTAGTTATAATAATTACAACAAACAAGTCTGCGAGGTACTTTTGATGAGAATTTGTGTGTAGGTAATACCCGCAAGACTACTGGCACTGTGGCTGAACATAATGGTGAGGGGGGTACACGTGATGGTGAAGGAGGTACATTGTAGTATATTGCACTTCATAGTTTTTTTTTTTTTTTTTTTTTTTTTTTTTTTTTTTTTTTTTTTTTTTTTTCATTTTTCATATGGCACTTCATAGTTCAGTTTATTGCACTTCATAGTTTAATATGTTGCACTTCATAATTTTTTAGCAAATATATACATATATATACTATCAGTAGAATTATGGGTTTTTTCCTTTGACTTTATGTTGTATTATTTTTATTTTTTGTCATCTCTGGTTTGTGCCTCAACGTCGCACAAGATTGCCCTCAGTACGCCGAAGGGACGCGCCCACAGATAATGGTAACACACGAGACTGTATTTATTTATGAAATTTTCATATATGTATTCTAATGTTCGTCTAGTTTATTAGTGGTCTTTATGTTTGTATATGTTGTCTCAACAATCGTGCTTTTCTACATATCAGTGTCGGAGTAACCATCCATACAACGGAACATGTCAGTGAACACCTGAAGCGCTTGAAAATTGGTGCACACATTCCGAACCAACCTGATAACGACGACTTTGTGGACGATGTACCCCTGGAAGCTATTACATTAAAACGGTATGTTATCCAACATAGTGCCAGAACGCCCTCAGTACATCAAAGCGACACGTCCGCAAAGCACGATAACACTCAAGAAAGTAATTACGTATTAATTACTCGTATCTATTTTCTGCAGTTAGTATATTTTATCAATGTTCTTTGGTTTTATATGTTTTGTTGTCTAATCACTTGTGTGTTGTACATGTCCAGTGGTGTATAGAGTCTTCGATACGCTAGATCATGTTGGTGACCGTTCAAAGCGCCCGAACGGTGGTGCACACATATCGAGCTAGACTGACAGTGATGATGGTCTTGGACTCTTGATGATGTACCATTGACAGAACTTGCAAAAAAGCGACATGCTACTCGACGTCGCACAAGCCTACCATTATTACATCAAGGCAATCAAGGCGATACATCAATGAATCATGATGTTGGTTGAATTGTGATCGGGTGGTGTTGACACTTTTGTGTTACGACCCGTTTTGATAACATGTGCATATCGAAGTTTTTTCGACGCATACGTGACGAATGTTTTGTTGGTTTAGTGTGTGTTTTGGAATATTGTGGGCAATGGTGTTTGTTAAAGCTCGTTGATAATGGTACTCTCTATTTTGTTAGTTGTGTTGTTACCATACGAATGTCATGAGTGTTGCTCAACTTTAAATTCGTAGGTT